CCCGCCCCTGCCCGGTGGTGACGCAGGGTGGGAAAAGTTGCTCCGTTGGTCTTAGCTTGATAGAATGTCTGGTGGAAAGGGTGAAGAACAGAGTCCCCATAAGAGAGACGCAAATCAAGTTCAAGGCGCCATGAAGTGCTCTTCAGAAACGGGTCCCATTCTTGGCTTTTGATTTGATTTCGTGTGGAGTGAGCTGAGTTCTCGTTACAGACCAGGTCCCATTCCACGCGGCTCCCGTTTCTCTCCGTGGCTGGCTTTCCCGGGGGCAGGGTTCGCTGTGCCCCTGTTGGGAGCCCACTACGTGGGGCTCGCCCTTGGAAAGTTTGTCTCCCGGGCTCTTCCTGCAGGAGTGCGCCCTTGTGATGTGAAGGCCGGGAAGGTTACCTAGGGTAGTCGTGCTAGTGAAAGGAGACCTCCACTCTTCCCAGACGCAATCCATCCGGGAAAGAAAGAAACTGGGGTCCCCTGACTTGTGCTCCCTTCCGATGTTTCTGGTTCCTCCCCTCTCCATGACTCCCTGGCCCCCGTGCCTGTTCCTGGAGCCTCAGCAGAGTGTAGGGGTGTGTGGGCTTCTGCCCGTGTCCCGGTCGGGGCGCCAGATTCTGTCTTCCCCCCTGCGCGTTTTCCTCGCCAGCTCTCTGCTGTGGCCAGGGAGTGCAGTGGAGGATGGCCCAGGTGCTTGGGCCCTGCACCCCATGGGAGACCAGGAAAAGCACCTGGCTCCTGGCTCCTGCCATCGGATCAGCGCGGTACGCCGGCCGCAGCGCGCCAGCCGCGGCAGCCATTGGAGGGTGAACCAACGGCAAAGGAAGACCTTTCTCTCTGTCTCTCTCTCTCACTGTCCACTCTGCCTGTCAAAAAAAAATAAAAAAAAAAAAAGAAAAGAAACTATAAAATCCTTAGGCTCAGTTTCTAGTTCAGCATGTCTTCAGTGTTCATGTACAAATGAATGAATCAATTCTTGTCCCCAGGCTTGTTCTTAAGGTGCTCATGAGACTGGCCTCCATGATCAGATACTGTCTCTTGCAAGCCATGGAAATAACCTTCACTTGAGAATATCAAACTACTCCAAAGAGGCAAATGATCATTAAGTAACCTTAACTCTGCCCTTTATTGGAAAGAACATGAATCCAAGAAGCAGAAGGGGCCAGTCACCATGGAAAACTAAAGAAAAACAGGAAGGAAAGTGTTTCTTTCTCATTATCATTTAAAATTGTTTCAAGAAATCAAAGAATCATTTCGTAACTGAGAACTGACAGTGTGCTTTGTACCACATGATGCCTTCCCAGGGTGTTTATAACTGGTGAAATGCAAATCAAGAAATAAATCATTTCACCTTCCAAGAGATTTGAAAAGCAAGACTCAGTTTTGCAATGTTCAACATACTGCCCCTTAGGCAATCAGGTTAAATCAGTTTTCACAATGAATTTAGTTATTTTTGCAAAACACATAATCAAGAATGGTAGAAAATACTGAAATATTTAAAGTTAACCATTCAGAGAATTAGCAGCCATCTATGCAAGCCACAAAAATACTGATAACAGAGCATTTTCTTTAGTCTGGAATGGGAATCTGCACAGACTGTTCCCATAAAGAGACAGAGAGTAAATACCATAGGTTACAGTGCAAAAGCAGCCAGAGACAGCATGTAAGCAAAGGAGTGTGACTATGTTCCAATAAAACTTTTAAAAAATAGCTGTCGGGCTGGATTTGGTCTACAGGCCAAGATTTCTTGACAACTGATTGCTGTAAAAGAGGAATACATTTTATTTCCAAATTGTACCATGTTAGTTCTAGCTGAACTAAACTGGAGGGTTAATATATATATATATATATAGGGCTTTTGTAGAAAGTACAAGTTTCTTTTACTAAGCAATTTCCCTTCCATTTCAAAGGAATTTAATCTGCTTCAAAATGAGTTGTTACATTAACTGCAGCTCATCAAGCATA